GGCGACCCAGCATTACTGACCGCTACTGCAAGCCAGGGTGACAAGGCAGAAATATTGTAAGACCAGATGTTTTTACGTTGATTAAAGTGAACGAACTCCGGATTTTTGTTGGCTAGCGAAGTGAAATGCTAACGAATTCTGTCCGTCAAAGCCGGCAAATGACTGTACATGTACACATCGTTTTGTACATAAACACTTCAAATTTTAACTAATTTTAACTTTTCGTTTATTCGATAACCGCAATCAATAAAATTATTGTCTCCTCGCCGTGTGTTTAAATATTCGTTTATTCATTAGAATTAGATTTTCGTTATTGATTTGTCCTGCAAATCATGCTATGCACACAGACCAGCCGATAAGATGGCGAATGAAGATGACAATGAGGGTGACGAATCTAAAGAGGATTTAGCTTCGTCGTGCTCCCAAATTGGATTGAGAATGGCTGCAGTGGGAGATGGAGATGAGCGCCCACTCCTGTTGAAATGCTGCATATGGCCAAGCGCAAAATAGAGCTTCCTCTCAATCAAAGACCGACCAGGTGCCTTCACGTGGCGGGAGTGTTTTCACAAAATCCTGGAGGTCTGAAAGGCGAGTTTCTGGCGCCTGAAAACCAGTTTGTTCTTGCTCTGGGTTCCAGAGGAGCTTGTAGGGGTGTTGGCGGAGGTCAATATTCGCACCAGTCAGGGGCATTGAGCAAGTGCTCATCCAACTGGGGAAAAGCAGCTACCTCACTGCACCCACTGCCTTGTGGGATAGGTTTCGGCTAACCAATGGATAGAGTGGCGGCTCAATTAATACGTATCTGGAAGGATCTGATCAACCACTACTGCAAGCCAGGTTGACACTGCATCGGCCGCCACTGCAAGCCAGGGTGACACGGCATCACCGGCCACCACTGGTGACACAACGTCACCGGCCACTACTACAAGCCAGGGCGACACACCACACACAACAGCCACACCACATACAACACACACACTCTATCCACACACACCACACATACCACCCACACCACAAACACCACCCACACCACACTCACCACCCACAACACACACCACACACACGAAAATCAACACCCACACCAAACACACCACACACACACCACACACACCACCCACAACACACTCACCACACACATCACACACACCACAAGTATCACACACACCACACAAACCACGCACACCACACACACCACACACACCGGCAGCTACTGCAAGCCAGGGTGACACGGCATCACCGTCCACTACTGCTAGCCAGGGCGACACGGCATCACCGGCCGCTACTGCAAGCCAGGGTGACACGCCATCACCGGCCGCTACTGCAAGCCAAGGCGACACGGCATCACCGGCCACTACTGCAAGCCCGGGCGACACGGCATCACCGGCCACTACTGCAAGCCAGGGCGACACGGCATCACCGGCCGCTACTGCAAGCCAGGGCGACACGGCATCAACGGCCACTACTGCAAGCCAGGGCGACATGGCATTACCGGCCGCTACTGCAAGCCAGGGTGACACGGAATCACCGGCTGCTTCTGCAAGCCAGGGCGACACGGCATCAACGGCCGCTACTGCAAGCCAGGGCGACACGGCATCACCCGCCACTGCTGAAAGCCAGCGTGACACGGCATCACCGGTTGCTACTGCATGCCCGGGTGACACGGCACCACCGGCAACTACTGCAAGTCAGGGTGACACGGCATCACTGGCCACTTCTGCAAGCCAGGGAGACACGGCATCACCGGCCGCTACTGCAAGCCAGGGCGACACGGCATCACCGGCCACTACTGCAAGCCAGGGCAAAACGGCATCACCGGCCGCTACTGCAAGCCAGGGCGACACGGCATCAACCGCCACTACTGCAAGCCAGGGTGACACGATATCATCGACCGCTACTGCAAGCCAGGGTGACACGGCATCACCGGCCGCTAGTGGAGGCCAGGGCGACACGGTATCACCGGCCGATACTGCAGGCCAGGGCGACACGGTATCACCGGCCGCTAATGCAGGCCAGGGCGACACGGCATCACCGGCCGCTTATGCAAGCCAGGTTGACACGTCATCACCGGCCGCTACTGCAAGCCAGGGCGACATGGCATCACCGGCCGCTACTGCAAGCCAGGGCGACACGGCATCACCGGCCACTACTGCAAGCCAGGGCAACACGGCATCACCGGCCGCTACTGCAGGCCAGGGTGACACGGCTTCACCGGCCGCTACTGCAAGCCAGGGCGACACGGCATCACCGGCCGCTACTGCAGGCCAGGGCGACACGGCATCACCGGCCGCTACTGCAGGCCAGGGCGACACGCCATCACCGGCCGCTACTGCAAGCCAGGGCGACACGGCATCACCGGCCGCTTCTGCAAGCCAGGGTGACACGGAATCACCAGCTGCTACTGCAAGCCAAGGCGACACGGCATCAACGGCCGCTACTGCAAGCCAGGGCGACACGGCATCACCGGCCACTGCTGAAAGCCAGGGTGACACGGCATCACCGGCTGCTACTGCATGCCAGGGTGACACGGCATCGTCGGCCACTACTGCAAGTCAGGGTGACACGGCATCACCGGCCACTACTGCAAGCCAGGGCGACACGGCATCACCGGCCGCTAGTGGAGGCCAGGGCGACACGGCATCACCGGCCGCTAGTGCGAGCCAGGGCGACACGGCATCACCGGCCACTACTACAAGCCAGGGCAAAACGGCATCACCGGCCGCTACTCCAAGCCAGGGCGACGCGGCATCAACGGCCACTACTGCAAGCCAGGGTGACACGATATCATCGACCGCTACTGCAAGCCATCAAAACAACAAATGCAAAACGGCCACTACTGCAAGTCAGGGTGACACGGCATCACCGGCCACTACTGCAAGCCAGGGCGACACGGCATCACCGGCCGCTACTGCAGGCCAGGGCGACACGGCATCACCGGCCGCTACTCCAAGCCAGGGTCACACGGCATCACCGGCCGCTAGTGGAGGCCAGGGCGACACGGCATCACCGGCCGATACTGCAGGCCAGGGCGACACGGTATCACTGGCTGCTACTACAAGCCAGGGCAAAACGGCATCACCGGCCGCTACTCCAAGCCAGGGCGACGCGGCATCAACGGCCACTACTGCAAGTCAGGGTGACACGGCATCACCGGCCACTACTGCAAGCCAGGGCGACACGGCATCACCGGCCGCTACTGCAGGCCAGGGCGACACGGCATCACCGGCCGCTACTCCAAGCCAGGGCGACACGGCATCACCGGCCACTACTACAAGCCAGAGCAAAACGGCATCACCGGCCGCTACTCCAAGCCAGGGCGACGCGGCATCAACGGCCACTACTGCAAGCCAGGGTGACACGATATCATCGACCGCTACTGCAAGCCAGGGTGACACGGCATCACCGGCCGCTAGTGGAGGCCAGGGCGACACGGCATCACCGGCCGATACTGCAGGCCAGGGCGACACGGTATCACTGGCTGCTACTGCAGGCCAGGGTGACACGGCATCACCGGCCGCTAATGCAGGCCAGGGCGACACGGCATCACCGGCCGCTTCTGCAAGCCAGGGTGACACGTCATCACCGGCCGCTACTGCAAGCCAGGGCGACATGGCATCACCGGTCGCTGCTGCAAGCCAGGGCGACACGGCATCACCGGCTACTACTGCAAGCCAGGGCAACCCGGCATCATCGGCCGCTACTGCAGGCCAGGGCGACACGCCATCACCGGCCGCTACTGCAAGCCAGGGCGACACAGCATCACCGGCCGCTTCTGCAAGCCAGGGTGACACAGAATCATTGGCTGCTACTGCAAGCCAAGGCGACACGGCATCAACGGCTGCTAGTGCAAGCCAGGGCGACACGGCATCACCGGCCACTGCTGAAAGCGAGGGTGACACGACATCACCGGCTGCTACTGCATGCCAGGGTGACACGGCATCGTCGGCTACTACTGCAAATCAGGGTAACACGGCATCACCGGCCACTACTGCAAGCCAGGGCAACACGGCATCACCGGCCGCTACTGCAGGCCAGGGCGACACGGCTTCACCGGCCGCTAGTGCAAGCCAGGGCGACACGGCATCACCGGCTGCTACTGCAAGCCAGGGCGACACGGCACCACCGGCCGCTACTGCAAGCCAGGATGACACGCCATCACCGGCCACTACTGCAAGCCAGGACGACGCGGCACCACCGGCCGCTACTGCAGGCCAGGGCGACACAACTTCACCGGCGGCTAGTGCAAGCCAGGGCGACACGGCACCACCGGTCGCTACTGCAAGCCAGGGTGACACTGCACCACTGGCCGCCACTGCTAGCCAGGGCGACACGGCATCACCGGCCTCTAATGCAGGCTAGGGCGACACGGTATCACCGGCCGCTACTGCAAGCCAGGGCGACCCGGCATCACTGGCCGCCACTGCAAGCCAGGGCGACACGGCATCACAGGCAGCTACTGCAAGTCAGGGTCACACGGCATTGCCGGCCGCTACTACAAGCCAGGACGACACGACATCACCAGCCGCTCCTGCAAGCCAGGCCGACACGGCATCACCGACCGCTACTGCAAGCCAGGGCGACACGGCATCACAGGCCGCTACTGCAAGCTAAGGCGACACGCCTCACCGGCCACTACTGCAAACCAGGGCGACACAACATCACCGGCCACTACTGCAAGCCAGGGCGACACGGCATCACCGGCCGCTACTGCAAGCCAGGGTGACACGGCACCACCGGCCGCTACTGCAGGCCAGGATGACACGGCACAACCGGCCACTACTGCAAGCCAGGGTGACACGATATCATCGACCGCTACTGCAAGCCAGGGTGACACGGCATCACCGGCCGCTAGTCGAGGCCAGGGCGACACGGTATCACCGGCCGATACTGCAGGCCAGGGCGACACGGCTTCACCGGCCGCTAATGCAGGCCAGGGCCACACGGCATCACCGGCCGCTTCTGCAAGCCAGGTTGACACGTCATCACCGGCCGCTACTGCAAGCCAGGGCGACATGGCATCACCGGCCGCTACTGCAAGCCAGGGCGACACGGCATCACCGGCTACTACTGCAAGCCAGGGCAACACGGCATCATCGGCCGCTACTGCAGGCCAGGGCGACACGCCATCACTGGCCGCTACTGCAAGCCAGGGCGACACGGCATCACCGGCCGCTTCTGCAAGCCAGGGTGACACGGAATCACCGGCTGCTACTGCAAGCCAAGGCGACACGGCATCAACGGCTGCTACTGCAAGCCAGGGCGACACGGCATCACCGGCCACTGCTGAAAGCCAGGGTGACACGGCATCACCGGCTGCTACTGCATGCCAGGGTGACACGGCATCGTCGGCCACTACAGCAAGTCAGGGTGACACGGCATCACCGGCCACTACTGCAAGCCAGGGCGACACGGCATCACCGGCCGCTAGTGCAAGCCAGGGCGACACGGCTTCACCGGCCGCTAGTGCAAGCCAGGGCGACACGCCATCACCGGCTGCTACTGCAAGCCAGGGCGACATGGCACCACCGGCCGCTACTGCAAGCCAGGATGACACGGCATCACCGGCCACTACTGCAAGCCAGGACGACACGGGACCACCGGCCGCTACTGCAGGCCAGGGCGACACGGCTTCACCGGCCGCTAGTGCAAGCCAGGGTGACACGCCATCACCGGCTGCTACTGCAAGCCAGGGCGACACAGCACCACCGGCCGCTACTGCAAGCCAGGGGGACACGGCACCACTGGCCGCCACTGCTAGCCAGGGCGACACGGCATCACCGGCCGCTTCTGCATGCCAGGGCGACTCGGTATCACCGGCCGCTACTGCAAGCCGGGGCGACCCGGCATCACTGGCCGCCACTGCAAGCAAGGGCGACACGGCATCACGGGCAGCTACTGCAAGTCAGGGTGACACGGCATTGCCGGCCGCTTCTACAAGCCAGGACGACACGGCATCACCGGCCGCTCCTGCAAGCCAGGCCGACACGGCATCACCGGCCGCTACTGCAAGCCAGGGCTACACGGCATCACCGGCCGCTACTGCAAGCTAAGGCGACGCGCCTCACCGGCCGCTACTGCAAGCCAGGGCGACACGGCATCACCGGCCACTACTGCAAGCCAGGGCGACACGGCATCACCGGCCGCTACTGCAAGCCAGGGTGACACGGCGCCACCGGCCGCTACGGCAGGCCAGGGTGACACGACACGACCGGCCACTTCTGCAAGCCAGGGCGACACGGCATCACCGGCCGCAACTGCAAGCCAGAGCGACACGGCACCAACGGCCGCGACTGCAAGCCAGGGCGACACGGCCTTACCTTCCGCTACTGCAGGCCGGGGCGACACGGCATCACCGGCTTGTACTGAAGGCCAGGGCGACACGGCATCGGCGGCCGCTACTGCAGGCCAGAGCGACACGGCATCACCGGCCGCTACTGCAAGCCAGGACGACCCGGCATCAGCGGCCGCTTCCGCGAGCCAGGGTGACACGGCATCACCGGGCGCTACTGCAGGCCAGGGCGACACGGCTTCACCGGCCGCTAGTGCAAGCCAGGGTGACACGCCATCACCGGCTGCTTCTGCAAGCCAGGGCGACACAGCACCACCGGCCGCTACTGCAAGCCAGGATGACACGGCATCACCGGCCACTACTGCAAGCCAGGACGACACGGCACCACCGGCCGCTACTCCAAGCCAGGGCGACACGGCTTCACCGGCCGCTAGTACAAGCCAGGGCGACACGCCATCACCGGCTGCTCCTGCAGGCCAGGGCGACACGGCACCACCGGCCGCTACTGCAAGCCAGGGGGACACGGCATCACCGGCCGCTTCTGCATGCCAGGGCGACACGGTATCACCGGCCGCTACTGCAAGCCAGGGCGACCCGGCATCACTGGCCGCCACTGCCAGCCAGGGCGACACGGCATCACGGGCAGCTACTGCAAGCCAGGGGGACACGGCATCACCGGCCGCTTCTGCATGCCAGGGCGACTCGGTATCACCGGCCGCTACTGCAAGCCGGGGCGACCCGGCATCACTGGCCGCCACTGCAAGCAAGGGCGACACAGCATCACGGGCAGCTACTGCAAGTCAGGGTGACACGGCATTGCCGGCCGCTTCTACAAGCCAGGACGACACGGCATCACCGGCCGCTCCTGCAAGCCAGGCCGACACGGCATCACCGGCCGCTACTGCAAGCCAGGGCTACACGGCATCACCGGCCGCTACTGCAAGCCAGGACGACACAGCATCACCTGCCACCACTGCAAGCCAGGGCGACACGGCATCACTGGCCACTACTGCAAGGCAGTGTAACACGGCATTATGGACCGCTTCTGCGAGCCAGGGTGCTCCGGCATCACAGCCCGCTACTGCAAGCCAGGGGGACACGGCATCACGGGCCCGCTTCTGCAAGCCAGGGTGACAAGGCTGAGATATTGTAAGATCAGATATTTTAACGTCGATTTAAATGAAGAAGAATGCGATTGAGTCTCCGGGTCGTGGGCTCATCAGGTGGGACGAGAATGTAGTGGCTACTGAGGATGGGAGAGCTGTTCGTCTAAGTACTGCTGGTACAAGATGTTACTAAGTAAGATATCAATTCTGATACAATCCGACAGCACAGACTACATCGCATCAATGCCCGCTCCTGCAAGTGCAAGCCAGCAGAACAGCGTCAAGACATGCTGCTGAAAGCCAGGACGAAAGGCATCATCACTGGAAGCCAAGGTCAACACCGCTGTCAACTCCTATGACAACTCAACTCCGATGTTAACTCCAATGTTAACTCTGACGTCAACTCCGACGTCAACTCCGATATCAACTCCGATGTCAACTCCGAACTCGGACGTCAACTTCGACGTCAACTCCGACGTCAACTTCAATGTCAACTCCAATGGCAACTCCGTTGTCAACTCCGTTGTCAAATCCGTTGTCAAATCCGCCGTCAACTCCGACGTCAACTCCGCAAGCCAGGGCGACACAGCATCACCGGCCACTACTGCAAACCAGAGTTACACAACCTAGCAGCCTGTTTTGAACACAAGTGGACAACTGTGAGTTTGGTCGTCTGGATTTCCTGGTGCAGTTGAAGGAGTTCAAGCTGCCGTCAACCATAATTTTTTAAGTTATGGCACTGCCAAAGCACCTGTCTTCAAAATGGTGCAAGAGAAGCGAGGTTTCCATGACAGAGTCATTTCATTCAAGAAGGAGAAAGCTGAGCTGAGTCAGCAAGCGTTGTCGGCCAGTTTAGGCGATGATGACTAGGAGGAAAGCATGCCACTGGCACCTGTTGCTGCTCAGTCATGGTGAAGCATCTACTCTAGGGATTACGGCTATACAGGAAGATGTAGATGTAAGTGTGCTGTGTATGTGTATGCAAACCAGGACAAAACGGCATCACTGCCCTCTACTGCAAAGCCAGGACGAAACAGCCTCACTGTCCGCTACTGCAAAGCCAAGACAAAACAGCATCACTGCCCTCTACTGCAAAGCCAGGACGAAACATTCTCACTGTCCGCTACTGCAAAGCCAGGGCATATTGAAGAACCAGGCTACGATCATACACAATGAGTGTATCTACAATGCCCAGACTCCACTCCAAGATGACATGGTGCTGAATTTGGTTGATGATGGCATCGCCTTATTCTTCTGCCCTCGGGCTCAACGACTGAAGCGGATTGAGGTCTACAACATGGAGAATGCAGTGCTGAAATTCAACGGTATCGACTACTTCAACAAGCGATCGCAAGTCACACCGACGCTGAATCACATCTCGCACGTTTTCAGGCCCACCAACCCGTTTGTGATCAAGAGTGAAAATGGCTGGTCCATCTTGGTGATGGCGCTCCGTGGTCTGTGCTTCATCTTCTCAGTAGACAGGACGTACGAGCCTCAACAACAAAGTGAAGACGGCCTGAGCGTAGTGAGTCATGTCCGTAAAACTGCTCCTCCGGTTCCGTCCAAAATGGTCGGGGCCACCAGGCTGGGGCTCCCTGGCCTGCCAATGTGTTCGCAAGGTTGCCGTTAAGCTGCTACATGGGGCAAGAATCTGTCACAAACTCGCTATGACAAGAGTGGCCAGCCTTGCCTGCACGTGGATGAGCGTCATGGGCACCGGGTAAAGTCCGAACTTACCGAGAAACAATGGCAGGGGGACACCACCCACCAAATTATCCACGGTCTGGAAAGCCATGATGTCAGCAAAGTAGAAGAATTCAACGGAGTCTGCGGACAGTGGGTCCCTCAGGTGGGACGAGGATGTAACCGCTACTGAGGATGAGAGAGCTGCTCGTTGAAGTACTGCATGCTGGTTCTAGAAGTGACTAAGTAAAGTCTATAGGGTATAGGGTTATTGGTTACACTAGTATACTGGCTATTGCGGGCGATTTTGCCTATTCAGTGTTATTAATTTCATTTTGCCATAACTCAATCTCGTACAAGGAAAATGTGCCATGCACCCATGTGTATAGAGCAGCATGCACCTTTGTGCTTAATTTCATGCCATGCATCATGCCACAGATTAACAAGATCTCTTTCTCAGTATCTGTGGCCGAACTTGCAACAAGAATCAAGCAGCATAATTAGTTTTGTGGAACCTTTCGAATTTCGTCTGGTCACATGCTCACATGCCTCCAGCTGGGTCACAGTTAGCCACAATATTCAAATAGGACTGTCAAATGCAAGATCTTAATGTGAAGCAACTTGGAAGAATGAGTATGTATGCGAAGTGTATCGGGGGAATGGATGCAGGGCGATAGTGCGGGTTCGAATCCCAAGTGATGTCTTGAAAAAGAATAGGAGAAATGAAAAATTTATAACATCACTACGCTTTTTTGCCCAGGTCATCAAGGTGGTAGACGGACGGTGTCGTATTTCCCTCTAATGCAAAGAGAACGTTTATTTATTTCGCTCAGGGCCCTACGCTATGCTTTTTTGCCTAGCTCGTCATGCATGTTATCCGAACAGATGGAAACTTTTGGCAATACAATGATGTAGCCGATCAGTTCGTGATGTTATGGTTGGGTATTAAAGCCGTCATTTTCGACGTAAAACACTATAAGACCGCAACGAAGTTGGGGCCAAAAAGAAAGTTCCATCAGTTCTAATGACATGCATGATGAGCTAGGCAAGACAGCATAGTGCAGAGCCCTGAGCTTCCAAGCTCTCTCGTTGTAATCATTGGATTTACATCCAAGCTACGTCCACGAAAGGCATCCTTTTTCCATTGAAAAATGAAATTGCTCAATGTATTCAATAGTGTGAGAGAAAGTTGCAAACGGAAGGAAAAGTCCGAAGAAAAAACTGACTTGTCACCACCCAGGACTCGAACCAGGGACCCTCTCTGATGGCCAGCGATACTCTACCAATACGATTACAGTGTAGCTACCACCCCAGCAGCGACTGCTGAACATTAATTTTTCTTCAGACTTCGAAACTCCCGCTTTTTGTGAATCCATACAGGCAGGTGCAACACAGCCCTCCCTAGCACTGCAACTGCACATTTCACGTACAAACTAGCAAGCGGGGAACAGGGTCCAGCGAATAATGCTCCGAAAATGTTCGTATAATGCTAACCATAATGCTCCAAAAACTGCCTTATAATGCTTATTATAATGCTTCAGCAAGGGATATAATGCTCTTGGTTTGGGACAAAATGGAAGAAGGTCTTCACATTGTCAAACTTCCAGGAAATTATGCTTCTTAGCACTATAAGACATGATCGCTTCTCCATAGATTGCTCTCCATTCCAACTTTGATGCAGGGTTGTGTCAGAATAGTCGGTGTATCAAATCCCTCCCCTAATTATCCATGTAGTGAGAGATGAAACCATTATTGCAGGTAGTCATTCATTGTTGGGATGAAGTTAATCTTGACAAATAGTATTCCTGCCTGCAGACAAGCTGTCACTGCGTCCACTCTGTGAATAATGTCTTCATCTGAAACACCAGACGTGAGGCCAGCTCCTGAGATCCGATCTCAGATGGAGAGCCCTCCCATTTGCGGAAATCCTGAAAGCACGTGGTCAGAAGTTATTTTGCCACTCTACATCCTTTGCTTGTGCTCTCATCTTCTCCTTGAGATGGTGTGTAGACGTATGGCTTGCCACAATACTCTTCCTTTCTGATAGCACTTGACTGTAGGCCTGGCATTACAACCATCCACAACTAACTGTACGTGCTTCATCAGGAAAGTAAGACAGGCGCTGCTGAGCAATCGACTTGGTACTGAGTCCATGAGAAATTCTAGTTCTTTTCGAGCCTCCTGAGCTGAACTCGGCAAAGGCGATTCTTTTGGAACGAGCTCTTTCTGTTTATAGCGGCTCCTTCATTCTGGTTCAAATTTAGCAAGGCATCAGTGTCTACTTCAGTATCGCTAGAGATGCTAGCGCCAGAGCCTCTTCTTCGTCTGTTTGATATTCACTTCGCGTATGTCTCCTCCATAGCTCTCCATTATTCTAAAAGTAAAAGAAACCTCGTTAATAATTTCTCCGGATTTGTTGGGCATGCTTCGCATATGGCTTGTATACATTTACCTGACCACATCTATACAATCATAACGTTTTCATGTAGCAATATTTATGTAGCGTTAGTGCTAAAGGTGTTACGACGTGTTTTACACAATCACAAAGTCATGCGGCGGTACAATGCATAGTGCTCAAATGCCCGGAAAAGGCGGAGCGTAGTACGCAAGAGGTACACAAAAGGAGTACAATAGGGCTGTTTCGTTGTTACTGAGAAGTTTCATGGCAAAACCAATCATAAGACAACATCTCATGATCATGATTGTACCCGATTGTTGCCAACAACCTGGGATTTCCCGATATTATCCACTATGAAACTCGTTATGCCGCTCAAACATCACATAATGCTCGTTTTGTTCCTTTCTTATGCTCCTTATCACTCCCTTAGTATTGACTCCCATTGATTTTCGCTATACCTAAGCAGTCAAATATTCCTGCATATTTCACTCCTTAGGGCTATATTGACTGCTTATATTTGACTGCTTACTATTTTTAGGGGTTGCGCAGTTGAACGGTGCCTAGTGCAGCATTGTCACTGCACGAGTAGGTGGTGGTGCAACGGTTGTGCAATCATAAAACCGGGATTCATGAGGTTATCGTTCTGGAATTTGAAATACGGACTGTTTGTCGTGATAAATCTAATATTGACTTCGTACTTGGTCAGTATAGGAAATAAAACCTCGTAAAAGACCTCGGCTTCGCCTCGGTCTTTTACTCGGCTTTTATTTCCTATTGACCTCGTACTCAGTCAATATTAGATGCATAAAGCTCTGATGCTCGGATAGTCGTATAATGCCGAATATAATGCCGGCATTATCCGCTGGACCCTAGCGGGGAACCCCAACATGATAACATCCTGTCGCTCAATGTGGTCGTGATCCATTTCATCAGTAATGATTATACTGAAACTGGGTTCGAGAAATGAAAGGGTGGACCTTTTGCGAATTTCAATCGAACATTTTTGTGAAATCAAGTTATTTTCGACCATAAGGGGTGAGTGTTAATTAAGTTTGCGATAACAAAGTGGGTGAAGTTGGGTGATTCACAGACTGAATAGCTCGAAGAGAGCAAGCAAAGAAAGCACCGGTGACAAATCAGGTCCATATCACAAAAGACCATCCAAGCAGCCCCCAATTCGTCCAACAGCCCAGAGGAGAGAAGACCAGTGAAGGCAAACAAAGAAAAGGAGTATATCAACCATCAAACCGTGACCAGCATAATATTATATTATTAAAATAGCGAAAGTGGTATGCCAAAAATTCGGACAATCTCGTGAAACAATCGACGAGGAGACAATAGTCGTAAAATGGCATTAATAATATCAATTTTTCACTCATAACAGCAAACATGAAGAAAATTAAGTTCCATAACGTTTTCTTGTGACTTTCATCAGTAGAACGCCGTCACATAAAAATTTAAGTGTGTGTTTTAGTTATTACATTTTTATGTGACAGCGTTCCACTGATGAAAGTCACAAGAAAACGTTATGGAACCATTACTTAACTTTCTTCATTTTGCTGTTGTTATGAGTAATCTTATTTCTTGCCAGTCTCATGAAACGGTTATATTATGTTATAATATATTTTTGTACTCAACACACAGTTTTTATCACAATCAGCAGAACGTGAGAACACCAAAGGACGAAGTATTCAACACATTTATTCACGCTGCGGTATGTTTTCTCTTTCTTATTTGGCTGCAGACAGATGGAAGAGCGCTCCATCTGATATCCGCACTGCTGCATCGCCATCCCTATTTCGCCCTGCTTTACTTCCAAATTTCTATTCTTAGGGTAGATCTACCCCGTAAGAAGACCTTGCGTCTGTGGGGATTAACCTATAAAAGTATGAATAAAAAAATGGAGCAGGATTCGAAGAAATGCCTGCCATAAGGTTTTTATGGTTCTGCCTGCTCTTCGAGCAGTTTCTTCTGCCAATATTTTGAGCTTTCTCTTCCAATGTCGACTGTAGAGCATGTGGTGTGGCATTGGCTCGCATGATTGGATTATTATTATTATTATTATTAAACTCAATCTCGTAGCATGTGCACGCATTGCTAATGTGGGGAGCAACCCCGGATTCCTTTGAGGGGCACAGTATTTTACTGGCTGGGATGTCTTTTTTTCATTTGAAGTGCGTGGGTCTAACGCGTTATACCGATACATGTGTTGCAGTTCTACATCAAGGCAACATCACTGTACCTTGCTGTTACAAACTGCCTGACGGTATGCACAAGGCGACCACACAGATATACATGGTGTGATGATGATGATGTAATGATGACACAATGATTACATAGTGGCTGGTCCTACCAGTATGAAGTATTCTCTGTACTACTACTAGTGCACTGAAATAGTGGGGAAATCCCCCGTCAGAACAGCGACGGGTGTTCGATTGCCTTGGTAGCAGGTATGTTTTCTATACATGTCAATAACCGAAAGAGAAGCAGCGACTGGAGTCCAAAACACGATAACTAGTGCGGTCATGACGGGGTGCCGGTAGGTCAAGAAGAGAAGCTAGATTGGATGTGATCGGACCCGGAAGACTGCAATGATGTTAAATTGGGCCTCTTCACATGCCCTACCACTTGATTTCCTGAAACCACTCGAACGCTTCGTGCTGAATGGTGCATTTGTCCGGAGGATTTCTTATTTCAGGCTTTTTACCTCGAATCATGCCTGTTGGATTGTCCTCTCCATATGGTACATCTGCATAGTATTCTTTGGGCAGATTGCGCCGTCTAAGTCGCTCCCAGTCGAGGTCCATGAAAAAGGGATGATCGCGTATCTCCTGAATCCCGAACCTGATATTGCCAAGCCGCTGCATGCGGTTTACTCGGCATAGGGAGGCGACGAAATCAGCAGTGACGGCGCCGTCCTCATCGCTGCCCAGTACCGTGCGGAGGTCACGGGGCTTAAAGTCGGAACACTGCTTGAAGAAGTCAGCATCGCTGCCGACCCCGCACAGGTGCTTCCAGCACTTCATATAGTACACGGCGGCGCCCAGGGACCAGTAGTCGGCGGACACGTCGTGTCCGGATTCAAGCAGCACCTCGGGAGCCATGTAACCGTGCGTGCCCATAGTGGTGTAAGTCAACTCACCGGGTGCCAGCCGCTTGGCACAGCCAAAGTCGGTGAGGCGTACCGAGCGATCGTGGTGCACAAGCACGTTGCCGCACTTCAGGTCGCGGTGAACGACGCCGCGCCGGTGCAGGTAGGATAAACCCTCCACGATGTGGCCGGCAATGTAGCGTTTCGTTTGGTGTGAGCCAAGACGGTGCTCACTGCAATACTTCATGAAAGAGTTCAGGTCACCTCCCAGGCACGCGTCCATTATGTAGTAGAGGCAGTGATTGTCACGGTATGCTCCGTGGGCGCTGGCCACGTACTCACTATTCAAGTTCAGCATGAAGACGCACTCCGATTTGAGATACTTGCCCATGCTCTCTAGCGAGGCACCGCGTTCCAGCTCCTTGATGGCGAACACTGGGTGCTGGCCGGGCAGCTGACCATTGAGCTGGGCGAGGTAGATGATGCCGAACGTCCCTTGTCCGATAACCACGTCCGAGGTCAGCTCTTTTACCGTTACATGGGCGTACCTGGTTCTCGTTGTCTTGCGCGGTGATTCCAACTCGCTGTACGCTTTCAGCTCCTCCTGAAATATTTCGAACGCCTGGAGGTTCATCTGGATTATGCTGACTGGACCACCGTCTGCAATCGCATGCGAAGGATATGTACAGTTGTGACGGCCGATGGAGCCCGGTGAAGTTCTCAGGCTGCGTTTTGTCTTGTCCTTTCTATGGACGATTTCCACTGCACCCTTCACGATCCAGAACACTGTTTCTGCCGGTGGGAAATCTCTCCAAATCTTCGCACCACTATCAAACCTCGTTTCCATGATTCCGGGGTCGGCGACTGCAAGACGGAATAGGGCGTAACGCGTGACCTTGGCGCTGAGATCTCGCATATCCTCCAGGCGCGCGACCTCTGAATCTGCTGACTGGTGGTCCCTGATCCTCGCCAGATCCCGGTAATCAAGGTCTGACAGTGCGAAGCCCCAGACCTGGGCACCCTCGGCTTTGACGTGGACTACATGGGGTGTGCCATTGTTTAATAAGAGTGGCTTCAGAACAACGGTGTTCTCCTGAACTTCGCTCTTGCCTTCCCTGGTGATAGCAACACAACCCGCAGTTAAGATGATCAGGAAAGGAGCGACAGCATTCTCTTCAACGATATATTCTCCATCAGGGTAGTGTACGCGCACCATACGATCGATAGCATCGTTGACCACACCAACAAACAGCTGCTGCAAGCCAGGTTCCTCAAGTCGATCCCAGAGGAATTTCTTTTCGGCTATCATCTTCGGCTTGCGGCTGGCACATCTCACAAGTATGGGTTTCGAAGCCGCTGCGTCTGCTGGCCAAAATATCTGCCTGACTCGCTTTCTGAAGTCTCTGAACAGCTTTACTGTCGGCTGAGGCGTTTCCTGCTGCTGCTGCTCTGCAGGCCCATCTGTGGAGCTGTTGAGAGTTACTAGGCGCCCAGGGCCAACAGTGGTTTTGAAGGGCGGTGGCTCAAGGCTATTCATCTTGTCTGAGTTCAGAAGTCCCTTCTGTGCTGCCTCCTCGTCCATTGCTTTGCCAGGCGTCCTCTTCGGCCTTGCTGCCGCCTTGCACCGTTTTCTCCATTGTTTGGACTGTTCGACGATTTCGCTGTTTTGAGAGTCTGAGTAGTGCACGCACTTCGTGTCCGCGGCAGCCACCTGTTCCGCTGCTTCCTCCCTTGCCGCAGTCGCCTCGTCCACAATCACAGGGAGATCACGTCGTTGAAAGCCCGTGCGCACATCAGCGGAGCTCTCAAATGTCTCTTTTGGTGTTTTAGGCGTGGAATTGCGTGAAAAGGGCGTCCAAAGAGCAGTTGGTTGGGATCTCTCCTTGAGCCTCTCATTTCGCAGCTTCTCCTCTTCCGCTCTCAACTGCTTGTCTTTAGGAAGCGGAATGTGCTTGATAGCTTCGTACGCGTGTTCCACTTTGTTTCCGATCTGTCTGTAGTGCTCCTTGGCTTGCTGCAGGCGGGCGTTTAGTTCCTCGTTGAGAATCGTTTCTTTGTAGAGCTCGTCCTTCAGCCACTTCACACTGAGGCTATTCCGACAATATGCGCCCAGATCCATTTCGTAGATCGTCTCCGTCAGCAACGGTCAATGGTAGTTTGTACTCCTGACTCCACATGTCAGTCTGACTCTCAGGCAAGATTTACAGGGTATCGAGCGCAACGGCGATTCCTGCTCCCCACAGCGGTTGAGCGTGAGCCAGGTGAAGGAAGAGGCTGCACTGTGACTGCGCCTCTCCTTTATCCATTCTCCGTTGTCATTGAGAAGCTTATGCCCCATGCCATGGTCGACGCACGGACGGTGTGGAGTGCGCACCTTCCTTAGTGGCCACTGTTCACTGTGGCATACCTGTACAGAGTAATTACTACCGCGCACCGCTGCAGACACCGGCACTACGTAGGTGTGGTTCCTACCTAGCACCTGACCTCACGGAGTTCGCACCCTGTAGATATACTGATATTATCTGAACACAAATTGCGTGTGCATTATTATGGGTCTCCACGACTCCAGTGCGTGAACAGGCCATTACATTCTCCACCTAGGCTGTAGGGAGTCGTAACAGTTTTCTCGACCTGCTCTACACCATGTAGAGGAGACGGCTCGATACCGGAACGTTTTGACAGCCAAATTTGTATAGACCCAAAACGATCATCAACGTTGATTTTTCACTCGAAATATGTTTGTGGAAGGAAACTGGCATGTTGAAGTTTGCTCTGGGGCCAGAGTCAATCGAACTGAGCCACTCCTTTGTGTTGACCCATTGCCTCCAAGTTGCCCAATTTTTCGCTTCAAAAAAGTTCAAATCAGAGGTGGCTCCAAACCGGACACGTTTTAGAGTGCCCGTCAAATTCACTCTGGGTCTGAAATTAGGTAATTGCTATCGCTCCACGACGGCCAGTACAGAGTAACAATAAGCCTTGTGTGTGCTTCCATTAGTTTTCATTGGTATGCGGTGCTTTATTGTCGAGAGGCGAGCCGCTGTTTACCTGCGACAAGAAGTTGATTTTTCGAAAGTCGTAAAACTCAAGTCGCAGTGCGAAGCAACACGTCAAAAACTCACCTGCTTGATATGGCGCTTCTGGTCATCGCAGAGCCATGAAATTTTGGCTCGGAGTATAACACATCGTAGTCTCACTGTGACATATGTTTTCTAATCAAAATACCAAGAGAGAAAGTGAATATTGAGTCCGTTCCGGTTTGCAACCTATTTCCTATTTGAAACCGTCGCCTCTACCATCTCAGATCATCTGGTGCGGAGGCGAAGCCTGAGTGTCTGATTGACAGTGATTGTGATGTCAGGCCCACACTAGGCCGATTTTCCGGCCTACATGTTTATCGAATCGTAGATCGACGGGAAATCCTCAAAATTAATATTAATTGACGCGAAGACTGGCTGGGTGACGGTGTGCACGGTGTTGTCGCACACGTTTCCTACAAATTATTTTGTGTGTATATAGGTAGTGCATCGGCCGATTTCATGTCGGAATCGGTGCCGTGGCATCGGCCGAAAAGACGGCCTAGTGTGAACCAGGCAGGAGGAGTGTATCTAGGACAGTGGCAGATTCGTTTCGAGCCAACAAAATCATAACTATTAGTGGCCACCACCGCAACCCATGACCGCTCCCTCAGTCCTGCATGGTTCATAATACACGTATCCCGATTTTTCGCCCTACATATTGAGGTCCTACAGATGTTGGCCAACATCTGCGCGAAAGTCGCCTGCTACACTACTACTACACTACTACTACACTACTACTATACTACTACTACACTACTACTACACTACTACTATACTACTACTACACTACTGGTACTATACTATCGTACTGGCAATATATGTTGTCGCGTAACGCGTAACGCAGGGGGGTGCGGCGTAACGCGCGACCAGGCTAGTGCGACAAATTTTCGTTGAGTTCGTAACGCGCGTCCGGCGCGGGGTGCGGCGATCTTTTCATTGCAGTTTGTACTGCACAAGAAAAAATGATGCGGCAAAAGCAAAAAAATGATGCGGCAATAGCAAAAAAAGGACTGCGGCAATATAGAAACCTGTGTAACGGCTCCTGTGCGACTTTGCATGTAACGCCCTGCGTGCGGCAAACATGTGCCAATGTAACGCTTCATGGCCTCACTGCGGCAACATATATTGCCAGTACGGTAGTACTAGTATACCGGTAGTGTGTCCGATTTCGTTTAAAGCCTAAAATCAACCAACTGTAGTCGTGTAGTGGTGGCACTGAGTCGAATGGTCTTGGTCCGAGGAAGCTGAGACGTTCCGTTCCTCCTTTACCGTAGATTCTTGTATTATAGCCTATCTCATACATGAAGAAGCCTGTTTTGAATTGAAGCCTGTTTTGAATTGAAGCCTGATTTTCAGGATACGCTGCCAGCACATACGCCTGGTTTTAGTGTTGACAAACATAATATTGATATACCGTAGTCAAGTGGTGTGCTTCGCTGTCCGAAGAGTGCTCCATACCTATGTAGGGCAGAGCCTTGTACACAAGAGAGAGAGGTTGGAAGCTTTGTTACAACTCTGAGTTTCACTCTCTTGTTGATATACCGTATTGATTTTATAATTATATTGTAACTCGGATGGTGAGCCAATTAAATTATTGTGAAAAGAAGAAGGACAATGTCGCACTCGTTGACTGTATAAGATCTGGTTACGTTGGTGGACAGTTAGTTATAACTCGTAACATTTTGTCCTTCTTCATTTCACAATAATTATATTGTCACTCGGATGGTGAGTCCCCTCTTGAACCTTTCCGAACCTGAGCCTTCCAAGTTGGAAGGTTGTTGGTTTGCGCCTTGGAGAAGTGTTGGAGCTAGGTGTCAGGTCGCCGATTGTCTCAGTACTCCTTGTCAGTTTTGTGCCATTTTGTCGCACTCGCTGACTGTATCTCTTAATTTGCTGGCCGAAAATCCTATATATAGGATTTGAAAATGTGTGCCTTTTATGCCGTTGTTATTGGTCATCACGACCAATAATAACGACATACTGGTTTTCATGGAAGTTGTAAATATGTTTGAGGCATGAATGTTTACATTTTAGATTCAAAGGTCGATAATATTTCTGATGAATACCCATTTTCAGCAATAATTGGAAATTTGAGGATATTATTGTTCAGCTGCTGTCATGGAAAGGACTGAAGCAGTGAATGTGCAGAAGAACATTGCAGGTGTGGCACGGGGTGGTTTCATGACGACATATCGCACATGCCGTCATGAAACTACCAGTTTTAAGGATAAAACAAGGTCCAATAAAATCTCAAATCCTATATAAAGGATTCGAAAAATAGGGCACAAGCCTTGGTAATATTGGGCAAGGAGATGAGCCTGAGATGTTAGTGTTTGAAAAAATTATCTTATTCAACTCTCGATATCTACTAAGACCTAGCAAGGAAGAATTGGTCACATGCTTTTTGCTTTTCTCATGCCACACCCATTTTGAGTTGAAAAATATGACCAAAATCATATTATATAGGATTTAGCAAATTAAGAGATAAGATCTGGCTACGTTGGTGGACAGTTAGTCATAACTCGTAACATTTTGTCCTTCTTCTTTTCACAATAATTATATTGATAGTAATTTGATACGAACTTAGAAGTTGCGACTTTGGCGGTAATGTCATGAAGTTGGTTGCTCCAACGAGGAGCACACGCTTCTTGCCGAACTTGACACTTGACTGACTCACGACTGCCATCCGGAGCACACCAGGAGCACGTCGCACCTTCCGCTCGGCAAACCTGAAAGAAAGCACCACTCCCTGCTCAATACACAGTGTTTCGGGGAATTCACCCCTCATCAGTTGAGCTTGAGTAGGCTGAGGAAGATTGTGCCTGAAAAGCACCACTTATATACTGCTCTCCAGGCCAAACCATCACCAGGGATACAAACTTACAGAGACGCTTTGTTTTCAGCGCGACAAACACCTCGTGAAGCCCCAGGTAGCAGCGTGAGTCAGAATCGCTCATGGAGTTGTGCTAAACAGACGTTGAGAGCCAGTATAGCTATTCACAACGCTGAGCAGTATATAAGTGGTGCTTTTCAGGCACAATCTTCCTCAGCCTACTCAAGCTCAACTGATGAGGGGTGAATTCCCCGAAACACTGTGTATTGAGCAGGGAGTGGTGCTTTCTTTCAGGTTTGCCGAGCGGAAGGTGCGACGTGCTCCTGGTGTGCTCCGGATGGCAGTCGTGAGTCAGTCAAGTGTCAAGTTCGGCAAGAAGCGTGTGCTCCTCGTTGGAGCAACCAACTTCAATTATATTGATATTATATTTTCAAGGATTCTTCAGAGGCAAATGGATGCCTATCAAAGGGGGAAAGGAAGTGAAGGTGGCTGTTATGAAAGAGGGAAGAAGGGACATGACAAGGTGCAAAAATGAAAATAATACAAACACGAACAGCAAAGCTACTTGCAAAAAAATGGTATACATGTACTTTTGAAGTACCTTGCACAGAATACTTGTGGTGCAGATAGTGTCTACGCATAGCAAAAGTAAATCGGCTAGCGGATGTCAGACATTGGGGGATTTCTTCTGGCAGCTTATTCCAGGCAACACTGAGACAAAATAATGGGGATTGAGTGAAGTATGTACCAGACTTAGGGAGAATCATAGCAGATGGATGGCGACTACTACGGGATACGAAAAAAGAGAAATGTTGCAACAATGATGGGTATCGGGAAAAAACATGGCACACACATAGAAATACCGGGTTTGAATAGATGCCTGATGCGCGCCTTGGGGATTTGAAAAATAATCCCCTCGGAACCGTACAATATCCTATACATAATAATATATATTATTATCGCCTTCTTAGTATTTGACCCCACTAATTTCCCTGATACCTAAGCGGTCAAATATATCGCGTATTTGACTGCTTAGGGTGCGTTCTTAAATTCTCTAGCTTCTAGGAGAAGAAGAAAAGAGAAGTCGAAGAAACTGGGATTCTTCAAGAACGGGTCTCGAAGAATTCGGAGATATTTTGCAGATGTCAAGCAAAATGAAGCGCCAAAGGGGCCGCGATCTTGAGTGCCACGAAAATAGTATGCGCTGTGCGTATGCGAAAAGGGAAACGCGTACACTCATGATCAACACGTGGCTTTTAGCCTAGTTCGCATGCGCTGATCCCAAACCGCGGGAATCTCCAAGTTTCAACCACCTCTGAAGCTTGGAGAGCTTGGAGAGCTTTGGAGAGCCTCCTAAAATTCGGAGAGGATATAAGAACAGCTCTCGAACTTTTCGGAGAGTCTCCAACTTTTCCGAGAGGATTTAAGAACGCACCCTTAGTCAAATACACAATATATTTGACTACTTATATTTGACTCCTTAGAATTTCTTGGACTTAGAAATTTTCTCTCCAACTTAGAAAAAGAAATTTTTGAAGAAAGCAGAAATACACAAGATGGGATTTGAACCCACAACCATGTGAATCTCAGTTACTCTTCCTTACCACCCAGCCACTGTGCTGCCGATGCTGAACCTAGTTTAAACAATGACCTTGATCCTGCAATGCCGTACAATGCGGTATAGGCTATAGTATAATACTAGAATTACAAGGATATGTCGTATATGAAGAGAAACTATTGCGTGGAGAACACGATAAATAGATTATAGACCTCATAGTTGGTCTATACAGGATATATAGACCTCGTAAAAGACCTCGGGGGACCTCGGTCTTTTACTCGGTCTATATATCCTGTATAGACCTCCTAACCGGTCTATAATCTATACTTATCGAGCACTTTCTGGAGACTAGCAGACTCTGGCCTCCGACCAATCAATGATACAGTGATGGCTTTTCATCATGACACCAGAGAGCTTCGGCGGACCTCGTGATTTTTGAGAACTTTTATACCAGACAACGCCGGTCTTTTGGTCCTATAGGATAGCCTGGGTAAACAAAAAGCTCGTGTAGGGAACTATTTTTGAGAGAGAGAGAGAGAGAGAGAGACAGAGAGAGACAGAGAGACAGACAGAGAGACAGACAGAGAAAGAGAGAGAGAGAGAGAGAGAGAGAGAGAGAGAGAGAGAGAGAGAGAGAGAGAGAGAGAGAGAGAGAGAGAGAGAGAGAGAGAGAGAGAGAGAGAGAGAGAGAGAGATAGAGACAGACAGACAGAGAGACAGACAGACAGACAGACAGAGAGAGAGACAGAGAGAGAGACAGAGAGAGAGAGAGAGAGAGAGAGAGAGAGAGAGAGAGAGAGAGAGAGAGAGAGAGAGAGAGAGAGAGAGAGAGAGAGAGAGAGAGAGAGAGAGAGAGAGAGAGAGAGAGAGAGAGAGAGAGAGAGAGAGAGAGAGAGAGAGAGAGAGAGAGAGAGAGAGAGAGAGAGAGAGAGAGATAGAGAAACATAGGGAGATGAGCAAATTAAGGAGATAATATATATCCGGTTGATTTGATATTGCACTGTCGGGCTAATATGGGATTACAAGTACGTTGATTTGTAACTAGTTGGATGAACATATTGCCTCACACAGAGCCTTCCAGCTCTTACGACAGCAGCTGTTGCCACTTTTACTTAGTTGTGAAAATTGATTGGTAAAAGAGATTGTTGCAGAGTGGTTGGGAAAGAGCGAGTCTGCTCAACCACTTCCTATGAATGAAGCTGCGGGAAGCCCCACCACTGCTACTAAATAAGCAAAACGTGAGGACAAAGAACTCAACGCACTCAAATGTAATCAGGGCTTGCTCTTATGACAGTGACTAGTACATCACTACTTCTGCCAATGCAGACGTTTGGTATCATGCTAACGTTCGGTATGGTGCCAGTCCAGAGGCAAACAGTTACTGCTGACCAGCCCTTACTGGCCTTAGCATAATAAGGCTTAGCTAATTAGGCCTCAGCCTGCATTATTAGAAATAGTGCACTACCAAAAGCAGTGTTGTACAAGCATGATAATTTAAAATAATACAGTACCGGTATAATGATTATGGCTGTACTACTAGTAGTAGATCTACTACTAGTGTGATGATTTTGACTGTTTCGGGGATTTCGGTAGTCGACTGGCGAGTGTACCTTGTACTTCGTCCAGGAAGCGCCTTTGAGGCTTCGTGATTTTGACGTGTCGTATCTACGACACTGGCTGTTCCACTGACTACTTGTAGTGTGGGCATGGGATGTTGTGTTGACTGTCTGAAGTGTAGTGTAGATCTACCGCAAAGCACGTTCTGCATCACTCACAGCAGAGTCAGCGCACTATGATATGAGTGGGCGATTAGACCGATCCGTAGTAGATCAGGTACATATGGATATGCACTGGGTCTGTAATCATGGTGATAATGTATGACAAGAAGTGCTGACGCTCGACTCGTCCAGGAAATGCCAATGATTCGTTGAAGTACCTGTTAGTAACGTTTATTGGGCGGTCATCGCTATGATTTCTGCCCGAACGGCCAAAGATCTGGAGTAGCCATGATTTGTCGCCTCCTGTAGCCTTTCTGGTTGTCGGACGGGCGGTAGGCGAGCAACTGTGAGCAAAGCTCGTGTAGCGTAGCTGGTCTTTGGCACGAGCTTGTTTTTCGAAGAATCGCTTCAAGATGCTTTTGCTCGGACTCGAAAACTGCCCAAACATCTCATTCACTGATATAATGGCGGTGGCGGCTTGATTGTGCCCAGAACGGACTGTGCACTTCGGTTGCTTGACAACGGCCTGAACAACACTCAAGAAGGACTGAGCAGTCGAAGGTTAGAACTTGAAGTAGCGCCACATAATGTTATCTACGACGTGATTAATTTTGATGCTATTTTCGTATATTAGTGAATCATGAAAACATTGCATTGCAGGTGCTGTTACAGCGGTAGAGAGTATGCATCAAGTAAAAGTTCTGATGCTACAGAAAAAGCATATCTGGCGGCTAGATATCGCACAACAGCCCAGTCCTTCATGAATTACTTTTCCTGTCTCGTTTTGTTGCATGGATGCAATGAATGGTATTTTCAGTCCTCCACCACTTAGGGGTGGGTCTGATCTACTCACTGTACTACTGTTGGGGTGGGTCTGATCTACTCACTGTACTAGAGGGTGGTGGTGTTCCTACAGATGCGGACATCTCGGCCTCCAGCCGAGTCTGACGCGAACCGTGAATTTTCTTTTTGCGATTTGTTGCACACATGTGTATGGCGGGGTGGAGATGCAGTGGGTGATTGTAGCCGGTAATGGTCAGGATCTAAAAGGGGGAAAGATGGGGGAAGTAGCGGTGGTATGGGAGGCACTTGACTAAAACCCAGGGGCTGGTTACGTGGGGAAAACACAAGCCCGGGCTTAAGCAACCCTAGGCTTGCAATAGGCCCGCCTTGAACTGTCACCCAGTCATTATAGAGCGCGTGTTTGCATGGTGTGGCGGGCCTATTCAGCACTCCCCGAACTAAATAAGCCCTACACAGACCCCCCCCCCCCTCCCCCGAGCTCATCCAACTCCAGGGCTTATTTTGTCATGTAAACAGTCAAGGAGATAAGCCCTGGGCTTGTAAGCGAGTTTTCCATATTTTTCAGTTTAGCCTCGTGGACCTGAGAGTATTCGTTGTAGGCAAATACGTCTCCTTTTTTTCTGTTCTTGGCAATTACTTTTCTCATTTTTCGTTCAGTGAAGGCTTTGCCTTTTCGAAAATAAATGACAACCGGAAAGGCAGTAGAAGCGTGAGCGCTGCAGGCACTTCTTGATCCAAATTGTATCCTTCACGAACATTTACAACACCACGTTAAGGTGCAATTTGAAAAGTGAAATAGGCAAAAGTCGCAGTCATCCACCTAAAATCGGCCTCGTACAACTGTTTGGTGAACGGCTGAATAAGCCCGGGCGTATTTCCTTATGTAAACGGCCCCTAAGTAAAAAAAAGGCACAACCTAAATAAAAAAGAGGAGACTCAGAAACAGGCAGTACAAAGGTGAAGGGAGAATGGAAATGTAACTGATGGCGGTACGTTAGTACAGTCATGTAAACCCACTCCCATGGCTGGTTAAAATCGCCCGCATCACATGTTTATTGGCACTATGTCATCGTGATTGTGGAATAATAATAAAATAATAATAATAAAGCGTTTAAAAGTCAAAATCAACTGGAGGTCTTTGGAGACCAGGGGCCAAGTTCAGTAAACAGTACAACGAACAGTGGAGAGCACACGCTTCTTGCCGAACTTGACACTTGACTAACTCACGACTGCCATCCGGAGCACACGAGGAGCACGTCGCACCTTCCGCTCGGCAAACCTGAAAGAAAGCACCACTCCCTGCTCAATACACAGTGTTTCGGGGAATTAACCCCTCATCAGTTGAGCTTGAGTAGGCTGAGGAGCAACCAACTTCATGACTATTACCGCCGAAGTCGCAACGTCTAAGTTAGTGGAGAGCAGAGCATGAAATTCATTCTCACCACACATGATCGATTCAAGAGCAAAATCCAGCATCCTTCGTTTTGCGTGCCACAATTAGGTGTGAAAGGGTCATGCTGATTACTTGTCTCTTACTCGTTATGACCGTACACGTCAACTGTTGCAAAATGTGCTTAGCTAGCACTGGGAACGCTTTTCAGCCACCACAATGCCGGAAACACAGACAGGCCAAGCCATTCACAACTCCAATTGTGACATCTACTGTGGAACAATGTGATTCCAAGTTGTCGGGTGAATTAGGGGCGGGGCAGGTTCTGGCTCACTTTTTGACCTGCTGACCTTTGCCCAAATAGGGCACACAGTGAATGGTGTGCTAGGTGCATGTTCTCTGGCTCCCCCGACGTTTGAACTTTGACCGCAGCCATGCCATGAATGTCATCCCTGCGTCTCGATTCGGGTGTCTGCGGCCTCATTATTCCAATGTGATTCGTTATTGTTTTCCCACAAAAGAGGCGAAAGTAGTACTATTTCAATGAAATTGGAAACCTAAAAATAGTCGCTAGAACTGAGCACTGGATTTTTGACAAATAATATAGAAAATTTAGGAGTGAAACCCAGGGTGTGTTTGGTTGGTACGATCTAGAACAGGATCGAACAGCTGGTGCACATGGAGCAGCCTCATGCCAACCAAAACGGTACTCCAGATATAGAGCACATGTTTGTGAAAAGTAAGCCAAACTTGGGGCATTCTTCCAAATGTGTATGGGTCACCATGGTCACTTTGTACGGTACAACGAGTCCAACCCAAAAGCGTATGCATGTGATCATTCCCGCCAGGTTTCACTGTGGAAAAGTGAAACTGCTCGGTCTGCTCCGGCATCGAGGTCAGAGCAAGCAGAACATGTTCTGGCCGACCCAGAACAGGTGCAGTCCCAACCAAACGCGCTGTTCTGGTGAATCCTGTTCTAGGTTGCACCAACCAAACACGCCCCCAAATTCCTTATTGACTACATTCAATCCTATCGACTGACTACCGACTGGTTATCGACTGGCAGTGCCCTCACGCATGAACACAAGCACAGCATAGTTAAGCATACACACAAGCACATGCATGTTCACCCACCCATGGACAAGCAAACAAAAGCACAATATGAGCACATTGTAGGTTCAGCGTACAAACGAACCCTTTTTTTCTTTTCTTTTTTTTTACTGGGAACACAACCCTACAAAGAGACGTGTGGAGACAAACACAAAACAAGACACAGGGGATGTGGGAATGACGTGCCGATGTACAGGGAGCAACTCGACCGACCAGAGGTCTCGGCGTAAGCGTTGCAACCTGGCATCGAAACCCTTGCGAAATGTGTTTTGCACCGTTCTTGTACTTGGCTGTGTGTTAAAGCGAAATGGATTCAGGTGCCACGTGTACTTCACGGTACATGGCCTGAACTCGCAGGACAAGTACATGCACTGCATGTACGTTTGGGCACTTATGCAAGTTTCTTTAAAACGGGGAATTGTGTGTTATTTTTTAAACATAATGTGCAAGGTGATACGGGTTTTCCTTCTATCGACTCAACTTAATGGACTGGCCGGTCGACTTATCGACTCAGTCGTTTCACCCCTGGAAAAGTATAGATAATCGATAACCCAATTTCAGTATTGTTCCATGTGCAAGTGCTTCTACTGACGAAGGTGTTTTCACAAAATTTGTGTCCAAACCCTTCTGTCCTAGACGGAAAGCAATAGTGCTAGGATATGCCATAGCATACACCACAAATGCGGACTGTGGAATTCTTGCCGCTCACTATTGTTTGAGTGCAGATCGATGCATGAAAGGCTATTTGTGGCACATGCTGGTAGTTCACGATGCACACAAAATGCATGCCCTCTGTAGGCCAATGTGGTAATACAAAGCAAAAAAACACAACATCTCACCAAGTTCTCTGGGTATCTTGCCAATAATATCTTGAAACCCAAAAGCTGCTAACACTGCTCCTGGCACTACTGCCTTTTCTGTCGATGTTTCTCCATTCCTCGCAGATGGAACATTTCTTACACTGTCTTTTGCCGATACTCGGCCTCATCCTATCCTTTCGCCTTGCGGCAGCATCCCCTGCTGCTAATGGTAAGTCATACGACTACTCTCTCTCTCCCTATCTATCTATCTATCTATCTATCTATCTATCTATCTCTCTCTCCCCTATCTTCCACTCTCATTCTTTCGCATTCATTTGTTTATTCTTTCTCTCGTTCTTTCCCTCTCTTCCCTCTCTCAATAATTTCCGAGACACTACATTGTTGCCGTTGGTGGTGATGGTCGTGGTGGTGGTGTTCGCCTGCCAGCACAGTCTACGATACGTAGTGTGCGCACTGACTCGCTGTTGTCAGAGTCTCTTCCTCAGTTCTTGCTTTGTTCTCCTTGCGTTGTCAAGTCTTTTTGACTGTCTGAAGATATCGAAACCCAGCAGTTCCCTTTGTTGTTGCTGCTGCTGCTGTTAATGTTGCTGTTGATAATGTTGCTGTTGTCATTGCTGTTGATAATGTTGATGTTGTCATTGCTGTTGATAATGTTGCTGTTGATAATGTTGATGTTGTCATTGCTGTTGTTGTCACTGGCATCACTGTTCACTTAAGCAGGGATCGCAAAGCCGATTGGAAGTCTTCTGTACGAAGCCAACTTCACTGACCCTCGTCTTGGTGTTGTGATTGCGGTGTATTGCGCTATTCCGGAAGGTATGTTCCACATGCTGATATTCACTTGTTACCGTTTCCTGTTGAAGGAAAAACTGAATATCCTTTAGAGCTGACATATTCTGGAGATCCTTACACCGGGGGACTAGGTTAAGGCCTGCTTGGACGTGGAAGTCATTTCTTGACCGTGCAGTGACCCACGGTCAATTGTGACCCGGCAAACGAGTTACATTGAGGCATTGAACGATTTTTGGTCGTCGGCACCTTTGTTGGCAGTGAATGGTGGAGATGTGCTGTGTGTTCCCTGCCCGTATCTATGACATGACATAATTATACAGTCAGACCTCACTTATTCGGTCCTCTTTTATCCGGATTCCTCGCCATGCAGAAGAAAATCGCTGGTTACCGATTGACAGCATAAGTGATGCATGCAACATAACCGGACCTCACGATCCGCATACCGGTGCATGGTTTTGTGTGCAAACTGGTTCGAATGTGTACAAAAAGCTTTGTCATATCCGGTTGCACTCTCGTGCAGGGTAGTGCCTTTGCTGTGTGCGTTACGCAGAGCTCGCTGATTTGTTAGTTTAAGTGCTCTGACAAGGTACGTGGTTTAAATCTGACTTTGAAAAATTCATTTTTCATTGCTATCATGTTCGGCCTCATTTTCTCTGTGCGGCACTGCTCAGTCCACAAACCGGGACAAAACAGGATGCTGTCCCGGCAGATTAAGTATGATATGGCTGGGTATGTTTTGACCTGCTGCAGGGTCATCCAACACAGGCTGTGATGTTAAACTCAAGCATGGAAGGTTCGTAGTGAAACAGCAAATGTTTCCGGGCGGATTGTCCTTCTTGAACATCACATCAGCTGAGATGAAAGTTGGCCTCTATCAAATCATATTTCGTCAGTCTACCCGCTCTTCAGATCGAATAACAGTACACTACACGGTAGGTTTGTGTTTCGACGACTGGTACAACTCTGCCATTGCTATCTATGCACTATCACTACAATACTGCATGATTGAACGGGAAAGTCTGTAAAATGGCGGTCAATACACGTCGAACATCACACACGCTCAATCTAGCTACAGACGCAGTGCTGTGTGATCAGGTGTGCATCGAATATCAGCACCTTACCGGCATGAAGACATAAATTTTCTTGCTGCCATTTTCAGTGCTCCTCAAAAGTATATATCCGCGGTACACTGCAGCAGTCTTACTCCAAGCTAAAGACATCCATTGAAGATCGACCCAACCACTCCAGGTTTGGCGCGGGCAGATGTTCTTTGCACAACAAAAGATTGGCTATGTGTATGCATGCTGATATGTTCACATATTGAACATGT